GATTGTTCTTGGAAGCGTGGCATTCCATTCGCGAACCGAACTCAATTAATGACCACGCGCATATTCCAGACATTTACAAAATGCTAAATTAATCCCTAGGGAGTTCCTCACATTCTTATAAACATCTCATTTACATTTAGACGCTATTAACATTCATTTCATCACTGAAGAAGGTTATAGTATTTTAGCCGAAACGTCTATTTTAAGATTTTTAAGTCAGTGACAACGACTTTTAAGATTTTATGTTACAGCATGTTATCACTTATAGGAAGGGTTTCACGGTTCGGCGCATGTCTGTATTATTTATTCGCCTGTGCACGCGCCTTGGCACCGGCCAAGTTTATCATTGTTTATGAACCAATCGTAAGCTAGACTTGCCACAAGTCGAGCTTTTCTTAATCCTGACTTATTTATCTCCCTCGAGCGAAGCAAGACAGTAATCTTCTAGCGAATGAGTCGCGAGGACGAGCGCGAGCGTAAACGACGTAAGTCGCGAGAGGTCGACTTGTTTCACTTGCTGGGATGTGAATCAAAGCGTAAATTTTTGGCGCGAAAAACATGATTGACATGTCTCACTTTCTGCATGTGCTCCGCGCGCGATCGTCGCGAAAGCAGGAAATGATTTCCATCAAAACTTTTACGAGTGTACAAGTACTGTTCCCTAACTCAAATAAATTTATTTGTGTACAGTGTAGTATGTAGTCAGCAATATTGACAAACGGCTCCTGAAAAGACAAAACCGTGTTTAAACCGATCGAGAATGATTTTAGTCTAGATTAATCAGCTATCGAACAGAGAGCTGCCTGACAAATGCTATAAACTCATGTAGTTCTAGCTTGTACCGACAAGAATCCGAATTAACAAAAGAAGGCCGAATAAGTCGGGAAGAACCTTAATTCTGTAAATTAAATAACGCTGAAAATCGAAGTGGCAACGAGCGGCAGAGAGTAAAATCGCTGTTCCCAAAAGTCATCCATCGATCGACGACCGCTTTCAACACGGTAAAGTCGGTAAAATGGCCGATGCAAATTTGCTGCGATGCTCTTTCTTTGTAGAGAAGAAACTTAAATCAACTTAACTAAAAGTGCAACATTACACAAACTGCAGGAACGGCTCTGTTCTTCTTCAAAAGGTTCAAACTTAATTAATTCTCTCAAACGATCCGGATCACACAGGATCCGGAGTTCAGATCGCGTCCGTAAGGAAACAAACACGTATTGGTCGGATAAATAGCCCTCCACTGCTTTTCCCTGTCCTTCAACGGTAACATTTTGCGCCCTGCAAGTGGGAAAAGTCCTTTCCAACGGCGAAACCAACAGGCCAGAGAAGAATTATTGGAAATGACTTTTAGAAAGTCTAATCGTAAGCAAGTTACCTAATTTCGCATGCAAATAGCCGTGAAATCAACTGTAGAATAAATCGTACGGGTCAACACTAAATTCAACAGTCGAAAGCGTCTGTAAAATCCACTGAACTCTTCTGAGAATTTTGGTCATCCTTCATTCTGCGACGACTAACTATAGCATGTAATTACTGAACTGCATGTTAGTGGAGTTTTTAAAGCGATAACATTGATAAGAAGCGAACAAAAGTATTTTGATTTGGAGACATGCGCCGAACCTTGAAACCCTCCCTGCATTTTGTCCTGACCGGTATAACATATAAACTCTTGATAAATTCACTCATAGAATGTTCGCTCGTAAATTCATCTCTCAAGGCTTGCAGACCGACCCGTTTCGCGTGTTTTAGTGTGGGTCTACCGCGAACGGTGTGTTCGTTTGTATGTGATTTCATCGCCCGAGAAATCATGGA